GTGTATTACTTCCAGTGTCGGCTATTAAAATCCGACACTGGCTAAATGGGATTTTTTTTGTGTGAGTCGTAAATCCTTCATGCGCTTAATTCGCGACATTTGCCAGGGCACTAAGGGCTCAATCAACACTTCCACTTTTGGAAGATCTGGCTGATGAGAGTTGTTTGTTTGACTGAGTTTGCTTGACATGTTTAGTGAACAGACTGTTCATGAACTTTTGTGTTTGGGTTTTGTATGGTTTTGTTGTGCCCGGAGCCCTGGTGGTAGTTTTTTTGGAATGGGGGATTGTCTAATGGTATATGCTGAGAATATACACTTAGCCTAGAGCAGAACATAGACAGAGACATACAGAGACCGTGCACAGCAAGAGTGAGAAAAATTGCCTACATTTCGTTGCCAACATGACCCCTTATAAAGTGCTTTTTTGGTGAACTGTGCGCTTGAGCGTTTATCTTGACACAATGAAGGTCTGGAAGGAGGGTGGGGTAAACCATTTTATGGTTAGGCCATTTTTAGGTTATAGGTCTACAAAGACATCATTTTGGTTGGTTTTGGTCGGTCTGGGCTCGCCATTTTATAGTGAGCTGGTGTCCATCCTGTTAGCTGGGGTCATCCATTCTATAGAGCAAAAAAGGTGGGGGGAAACCATTTTATTACTATAAAATGGTGAGTCCGGACCGACCATGGGAATTTCAACGGGGATTATATATATATTATGTATTATATTGTACGTTCTCATCATGAGTGGGTGCACCCGTGAAAACAGGCAATTGCAACGATGGGTTCACATGAGGGAGCGGACAGCGGAAGAAAAGAACAGAAAACAATGAGATCAGGAAACAAAAGGTGCACAGCGAAGGAGAATCGCACACTGTTAAGAGACAAGACACGAGCGGGTGCACGACTGAGGAAAATACCAAAGGATTGTAGTGAAGAAAGATAACAGAAGTCCAGAACTCCACAAAATAGTGTGTGTGTGTGTGCTGTTCATATTGTAAGCTAAGCGCTTATAAACTACTTAGGTTCTACTTACAACCCACATATTTATAATATGTGAGTTGTAAGCAGAACCTAAGTAGTTTGTAAGTCGTGCCAGGGTAGTTTGTAAGTAGTTTATGCTGTCGGCTTCGTTACCGGCCCACGTTTTGTCTTTATGTTGCTTTCCATATTTTTTTTCCTGGCATCTTGGTCGACAACATTGTCATCGATTTCCTCAGATAATCTGTGGTTTCACAACTAACATTGTTATCGGCTTCACAAGATTGTCATCGATGTATGGATGTTGTCATCGGTTAGTCGTGTGATTAATATGAGGGGTGGGGTTGTGCTGGAATCCTTAAGACCGAAGCATTCAGTTGCACGGCAGAAAACTGATGATGGCCGAAAGACTGTCATGCTGTGCGACGGTGCCCCCCTGTTGCAAGAAGCTTTCAAAACGGTTTTGCTTGGTGCTTCGCCAATGCATTCACTCTAGAATCTTCACTGTTGAAAAACAGGTTGGCCGTCGAGGCCTTTCTGTGCACGCCGGAGGTATCGAATAGTTCTGGGCAACGCTCAAACGAGCCGTGCCGAGTAGGAGGAAAGCGCAACCCAGCGCTGTGGCGATATTGTATGGTCGATCCTTGTGGAGACGGGAGATCAGAACCCAAACGATACGCATGCAAGTAGGGTAAGTTCCAAGCTACATACTGACTGTTTACCAAACAGTTACAGTATCTCTAAAGGTAATTGTTTTACAGGTGTTACAAGTTACCTACTTATAACTACTCCCAAACCACATAGATTTTGAGAATATGTTCTTCCATGTGCTCGCGGCTATTTGATGAGTTCCGTATGCAGGGCAGGTGGAAACCACATCTATCACGTCAATGGTGTTGTTTCAATGGTGTAAGTGCGTGCAAGGTGTACGCCAGGACTCCTGTCCGAAGACCGGGCGCCAGGGAAGTGGTCCCCTGGATTGTTTCATGGTGGCATTGTGTACCTGAAGATTTTTCGTTCTTACTCGTGTGTGTGTGTCTAGACCTGCATGCAAAGTACAGGTCAAACTGTTTTATGCAGTGTTTTGCTGCAAAAGTGCTAATATAAGAAAATGCCACTGCGGTCACGGCCCAGTGACCGGCGCTGTATACTGGCCATGATGGCACAATTGCTGGTCTCCAGCACCTCGAGCAGACAGACGTGAGCATCAGCTCAAGTCCAAATCCATGGTTCCACACCAGATGAACAGATGAGGTCAACACCGCAGCCGCAGTACAGATTTGGGCACTCGATTATTTTGCATATTTTTGCGACCCGGTAGGCTGGCCGACATCCAAGCATTGAAGACAGTTGATCCAGCACCGTATGCCAAGGCGCCCCAAGGCATGCAACACCCACCCTCTCAAGACCGACTTGGACTTTGAAGACATGGGCATCCCTCGCATCAAAGACCCTGATGGCGACTACATTCGCCAGACGAAGCCATTGGTGCTGCCTGCTGACAACGCGTAGCTGCGCTCTTCAAGAAAGTCTACCACCGCCTCATCATGCAGGACATGCAGCGTGACGCACTGATCATCAAGTCCCGACCCTGTTGCTCGCACACTCCCACGTTGTGGCATTGGGATGGCGAGTCGGACGGTGGAGAAATCAAGGAGGCTGAAGCCATTGTGTTGCGTGCCCCATGGTGGAAACAGCGACTTGTCCAAGGAAGCGAAGTCGCTGGAGGGGCAGCGATTAATGTAGACATCCATGTGTGCCACCTGCCTCTAAGATTCTGCGAGTTAAAAGTTTTAAGTTGTATATTTTCGGATATTTTCGGACTCTTCACCTTGCGGCTTGCACGATTGCGTTGTAATCTTGAAAGTGTGTCGAACGCTCGGACGAATTCACACGATGGACCATCGGAGGACCGCGCGGAACCCAATCGTCACGAGGTTTTGGTAGGTGTTTTTTTCTGTTCACGCAAAGATGGCAGAGGCAGTTTATCGACAGGTTCAGGTTAATTGCGTAAAAACCCGAGTGTGCTCCAAAATCTGTAGGTCTCTACTAAACAACCTCGATTCCAAAAGAGAAGCCCTTTGACGTTTGTTTTTATTCGCAGATATCCGAAATCCCTGCCGCGTGCCACTGTGCAAACGTTTGTTTGAATTGCAGATGATGGCATCGCATCAGGATCCGAGCTTGGCGCCTGAGGACTGTGGAGTGCTTCATGCCTCCTGGCTGGTCCTATGTCAGAAGGGTTCAAATCTCAGAAATGTTTGAATAGTTTTGTTTGGGGAGTAAACATACCTATATGTTACAGAATCAGGGTTCGTCTATAGGCATGTCTCATCCATGGCGGAGTCCAGCGAGCTTCCTTGGCCAGACAGTTGTTGCAGGTCTAGGTGCGGGTTTCCACCTGATCTCCCCAGTCCCCAACATGACTGTACTGTCAGTCCCTTCCCAACCATGGCCCATGGAGGGTTGACATCCCGAACATAGGAATCTGTTCAATTGACCCGGGTCAACCAGGGTGCCTGGGTTTTGGCCCACCCACATTGGTTCCACTATTATTGTGGTATTGTCTTTTTGGGGGGACGCCATGTCGTTGGGTCTGTTGGCATTCCTAACATCTAACGCTTTTTGGCCGTGGGTGCCGAAGTGGGTGTGGAAAAAAAACATGGCGTTGAAGTGGAGATGGTGACGCAACGCTGTTCGAAGATACGATCTGCATGAGGCGGAATTCGGATTCGTTCGATCCCGTGGCATAGACAGAGTTGGTTTGCACGAACGCTGAAAACGATGGGTGGCATAGACAGATGGTTTGCCAGAAGAACCTATAGATGCATGTTTGATATCATTTGCCGCTCAATCCCCCCAACCTGTTTCTAGCCGGCATTGTGGACGGTTTGTGTTGTGCAATACTAGGGAGAACCCAGTGGATGTTTGGTCTCATGTTCCTTCTTCCAGGGGGGTCTTGATTCATGACTTTTCTTGAACTCAGGAAACCGTTTTTCTGGCAGAGTCCTCGATGGGTGTGCACGTTGGTCGTATGAAGTAACGCCCAAAAGTTGGTAAAGATTTCCGCTGTCTCTTTTAAGGTTTTTAATGCCTGGTATAGGGAGGTTGTTGGGTGAGATGTGCAGTTCATTGCTGGGGTGATACTGACCTTGCCTAGCCCTGCCATGACAGGTTGTGGTTTTCCAAGGTGCGGTTTTAGAGTAGAAAGGCGCAAGAGTGGTCAATTAACATATTGTGCACCATGATGCCCCATGTGTTTTCTATTCCGATGTCTCGTGGACGCTGTGATGCACCTGAAGGTGCCGGCCCATATGTTCAGCATCGTCCCAGAAGCGGACAGGGAACATATATATATATATTACCGCTTCTTTGGCACGCAAGGCCGCCAATACCTACGACACACTTTGTTGGTGGATCGTCAACTATGCAGACCATTTGTTTCGAGCAGAGCTCTCGTTAAAAAACAAATTAACTATCCTTCCAATCCAAGTGACACTCTGCCTCCTCAATTGGATTTTGAACGGTACTCAAAACTGTTGTGTCTGTCAAGAAAAAAACACATCGCCTCTGATCAACGAACGCACCAGGAGTCCTCACCTCGCAAGAAGCTAGCAGCACTGCTCGTCGCCAGCTTTCACTCTCACGACCGACGTCGCCACCGCCCAAACCGAACAGACCGAAGACGGACCGACCTCAACCGCCGAGCTCGAACGACGCGACGCGACGCGACGCGACGCGACGCGAATGAACGAACGAGGCCTACACCCCCGCGACGGAGCCGTGGGAACGGTGGAAGGACTTGGACCGGCGCAGCGCGGAGTACAAGGCGCGTGGCGCGGGTGATGACGGGGGCGGCATGTGTGACCGGTGAAGGGTTGAGGATGAAGGATGCGGAGGTTGTGGAGGTTGTGGAGGATGGAGGTGTTGCTTTCTTTGGTGGCAGCTCCTTGAAAGGAACGACCTGGAAGCTGATTGAAGTCTGGATGTTGGAGTTCGACTGCAGTTCACACTGCGTAGAACTCACCACAGGAAACAGTCTCTGGGGGGGCGAAAAGGCGAAATAGGTTGGAGATCATCGCAGTTTTTCCAGCTGCACTGCAGTTCTCACTGCGCAGATCTGGTACGCAAGAGTAGCGAGTCGGATTTGTTGGTTTGGGGATCCAAAGGTGTGATCAATTTGCTGGGGGATGGTCCAAGCTATCAGCAAGAAATTGGGAGAATCCTGGTGATCAAGTGGGTGAGTGGAATGTGTTCGAGGTTGTCCCAATCAGGATAGCTTGTATGTGCACGGTACAGAAGATGATTCAGACAGGATGATTGAATATGATTGATATGTATATATATACAACCGTGATAACATATTGGGACATAGCATATAGTCATATGCTTGAGTTCTACTTGCTAGCATGAATATGGATAGCTCGTGATAGCCTTTGGATCATAGAGATCTTAAGCAAGCTCAACATCTTTCATCCAACATGGCCGCATGTTCTTGGCCGCAGGCCTTGAAAGAGCAGCGGGCCGAATTCTTGTGGAAGCAATTGGAACGCATCATCCCCGACCTTCGCCAAAGAAGCAAGGCCGGCGTCCGCAGGCGCCGAGACGGCGCCGGTTGGTAGTGGACTCTTTGGTGTGATTACGGAAGTAGAACATAGATGGAACAAGCATCAATCAATTCCCAGACGCTCCACTGGACTGGAAGGGAACGCTGGCTATGTCAAAACACGCTACATTGAAACTACCCCAATGTATCAACAAGTACTCCAGTCAAATGGAGTGTTTGAGAATTGTCGTTGCCTGCAGGTCTTCTGACAAGATCTGGACCTGCAAAAGACTGACAAGACCCTAATTTGTGGTTTCAATTTATGGCTGGAAACCCCGAACGGACTAGTATTTGCTCGCCGGCCTCTCGCCAGCGGATCGGACTGGTGTAGAGAGCTTGTTGTGGAGTTACGTCCTTTGAAAAGCTCCGAAAACTCCGATGGTGGAGCGCATGAGGCGCCTAAACGTTGCTCAAAGCCACTGGGATCCTTTCCCAGACGAGACCTGTTTGGGACTGCCAATCCGTTTTGTTAAACTACATTGGGTTGGTTTAAGGGATCCATGTAAGTATAATCCGATCATGTATGGAATAATTGTTAATACTTCCATTGGGGGGGTCATTTTCATGGGGTAAATGTATGTGAGAGTCAACCGAAACCCTTGAAACAGAAATTTAGACCAAACGCAAATGTGAGAGTCAGACCTTGCATTTTTCCCCAGATAGCGACAGCTATGGGGTTCTTACTTCAAATAACAATGAGCTGCCTGTGCGCGCTTTCGAGACAGGGTGCCGGTGCCGGGTGCTGGTGCTGGCTGTGGTGGTGCTGGGTGCTGTGAGCTGGCCTGCCGGTGTTGGGTGCTGTGCTGGCTGCGCGCGTGGTGGAGACAGGGTGCAGGTGCTGGGTGCCCGTGCTGGGTGCTGGTGCTGGCTGTGCGCGTGGTGGAGACAGGGTGCTTGGAAAGCTGGCGAACTGCGCGGCAGTTGACCTTTGGAGCCAACATGGCTGCGGACGCTCTCATTCCGAAGCTGTTCATGTGGTTGATGGCCTTGAGAAAGTGTTGTGTTGGAAGCGGATGTCGAAGGTATGCCGCTTTTTGAAAGTGTGTCATGCTGGGTTGCCAGTGCTGGTGCTCGGTAGGCTTTTGGCATCGGTTAGCAGGCTTTTGGTAGCCAAGCATTCTAAGTGACGTTGCTTTTGGACTTTCCCGCATGACCTAGACCAGAAGTACAGAAATTGCTCGACTGTTTATCCAGTAATTCGGAATATGCCGTCGCGAGGCAGATCAACTTGACCCAAGTGATTACTGAATTTGATTCTGCGACAGTCACCAAAGCCAGTGTGAATGCAATACTTAGTTTCAAACACTTAGGAGCTGCTGCCAATGCAGGGTGCGGTCCAGAAAAATATTTTGCTTGTTTTGCTACTTGGGGTCTATGCTGGTGTTATTCATGTTTTTTTCCTGTGGTGTACGCAAGCAGGCGCAAGGGCGGGCGCAAGGTTCATTCTGTAGATTATTTGTAGATTGATTTGCAGGTGCATTGAAATAAAATGAATGGGACAACCTTGGAGAGTCTGATTATCATTTCGTAGCTATTTGGCAAAGCCTCAATGGAGCTGCGTGGAAGACCTACCAATACCTAGATCTTCAGTCCGGCACTTTTACAGGGTCCGGCGCCGGACTTCCAACTCCGGCATTTTTCTGGATTTGGTCCGGCAGTTTTTCCAAGTCACTCTATGTGGATTCTCAAGGTTTTGCATTCTTTGTGGTCCGCATTTCTTTGAAGGAAAACCCATTACTGATGCAAGGATTTTGCTCGCAAAGTGTGCTGGCTTGCCTGTTCCGCTGTTTTCTCACTCCACCGGTTTCAGCATGGTTCACACTGGGTCAATCAGATCCGTTTGGGTGATCTTCTAAATGAAATCGGATGAAATCGGTACAGTGCGATGCACATGTTGAAAGAACATAGGCAAAAAGGCACTCCCACTGTTTCAGGATGTCGGGGCGCTGGGATATAGTTCTAGCTGCGCAGGTTTGCAGAGTCTGCCGGACAAGTTTTGGGCTGTGGAACATGTGTTGTTCAGAATCTCAATGTTTTGCAGAGAGTTGCTAAAAAAAATTGCGCGTCGTAACTCCGGCATAATTTCCCGTAACTCCGGCGTAATTTCCCGTAACTCCGGCGTTTTTTGGGGCTCAGTCTTCCGAAGGCTTTGAATTTTGAAACGTTGTTCAAAGAAGAGTTTCGACAGGAACCATGAGTTCTGCTACTTTATTGGCGGGGCCGTCCTGAGGCAAGCTTTGAAAAAGTTAAATAAACATAAGAATCATGGAGAGCAACCCACTTTGTAAAAAAACTTTAGAGACACGGTTGCAGAGAAATAGAGGCTCCTTGCCACGTACTCCTTGGTTTCTTCTTGGAAGTCTTTGCTTGGGCACAAGTTTGCAATATATTTTGTGATGGTTCTGCCCTTAGGCCATTCGGAAGACGGGCGAGGGCAATGGGAACGGGAAGGCTCCAGTGTTGGGTTGTGGAATGAGTGTGCTCCAGAAAAAAACTACTCGTGGCGCAAAGGCAGTTTGCTCGTGTATGATCCAACCTTTTATCATCTGTTTTTCAGAATCTTGGATCCGGATGTTTTTTCAGGTCTCCGGCGTTTTTTTCGGAATCCGGCAGAAAATTTTGCCGGCATTTTGTTCCGCCTAAAGGAGGATCCAGGTATGTAGGTGATGGGTTGAAGTCAAAGAAGCTCAAAAGGTGGAGGCAAGCTTTTAAGTGAAAAGAACAGTGTGGCTTCCCGGATGCACCCGAGTCGAAAATTGAACCAGAAAGAAGAGCCCAAGGAGAAGAAAGGGGATGAACAGACGAGAACCTCACAAGCAACCCACACACCAGGCAATGTTGATTCCTCAGCATTAGCCTGCGGTGAAGGGAAGAAAAACATGGGAAACATGGGAAACTCACCCCCGCACTGCAGAACCGACGGAACCTGGCCAAGGGTGAATGCCTGACTTGGGCCGACTACAAGCAAAATATTCTATTCCCCAGGCCTCAACGGCAACCAGCACCATGTTCTATGGTGGTGATCGGATGGAACTCAGCGTTTTTGGGTGCATTCTCAGCTTCAATGCAGATGGAAACATCAAGACTTGCAAGCTGATCTTCATCAGTGCCATTATAGAAAACTCTGCTTTGATGTCTTCTTTGCTGTTTGGAGAAGTGGCCAAACTCTTTCCGCAAACAGCTGCGTGCAGTCGGGTCACCATATGGACAGATGTGGGCCCCACTTTCGTGCCGACGACCAAGTGGCATTTCTGTGTCAGGAACTCTTCCCGCAGCTCAGCGGATGGCTTTGCCTTCGCTTTTTCTGCGAGAAGCATGGAAAGGGCGAAATAGACGCCATGTTCGCTGAAATGGAGAACTGGGTCAAAGCCGTTTTGAAAGCACCCGGACCCGGACAAGTCATCAGCACCCCGCAGCAGTTGGTAGAATTTTGCACAAAAGGAGCAGCTGCTATCAACAAGAGGCGCTCGCAGGGAACTGAATACCAGGTGAAGCAGTTCGAGCTGGCCGAGAAGCCTCCTAGAGTTTGGAAAATGAAAGACCACCAGATTGCTATCACCAAAACTTATGCCTTGGACATCCACACTCCTGGGCCCAATTCCGATAGAAGGAACCCCCGAATCAGAGATGTCTTGTTTGCCGACAGAACTGAGGGATGTTCGCACCTGTCCAATCGCGAAAATGGGACAGAAAAGCACCAGGCAGCTGGGCGAAACTGATGACCGGGCCTTGAGCACAATCAGTGTCAGACAACTGCCGAGTATTTAAACAAAGAGAGAATCTTCAAAATAATCATCGCATGCGGGGAGCGCAATTTGGCGCAAGGGCGGGCTCAAGTGTGTTTTCAATATGGTGATTGGAACTTAGGCTTTGGCAAACCCTGTAAAAACAAAAAAACTATTCCACTCCCATGGACACAATGGTCTCGGGTATGATGAATACAAAATGAATCCATCACCAAAAATACCAGGACCCTCCAAGGGGTGTCCAATGGACTACCCCACACTACCTATAGGTTTCGATTGGGCACCCCTTGGAGGGTCCCGGTGTGTTGTCATTGGACATCGCCGTTGGACATCCCAGATCCACTCGTTCCCTCTCCGCGGCACCGAGACGGCAGGTCCACATGATTGGCACGCCCCTGACGCACCAGCGCTTCCTGAATCGGCACCAAGGCCTTGTTTATCACGTGGAGGGTGTGAGAGGGTGTGAGAGGGTGTGAGAGGGTGTGAGGGTGCCTGGACCAGCCTGAAAAGGGTGGGTGTTGTGGACCTGGATGCGAAGATCCAAACGTTTTTCGTTATAGGGTATTCCAACCAGGAGACCCTTTCGAAGGTGTGTGTGTGTGTGTGTGATGTGTTTTGTTTTTGGAGATCTGATGATTGGATCCCCTTGAAGAAGAAGGATATTGGAAGCAGACCCGGCAAGACCATGTTCTTCCAGTTTTGTTGGAAGACCAACATGTATCTTGGTTTTGCGGTTTCAGGTTCAGGCGATTGTTATTTTCCCTATGGGTGAATCCCTTTCAGCTATGGTTTCAGAGCCCCTTTGCTGCAAATGTTAAAGGATGGAGGGTGAATCCCCTTCTGGGGAGGTTCCCGGACAGCAAATCCCAGGTCTCCTCATCAGGCGCCCAGGGCGCCCACTCCAGGGCGGGCGCTCCCACGAATTTGCCAAGGTGAGCAAGGTGAGCATGTCAAGTTCTGAAGTGAAATGCAACAACTGAGCACCCGAAAATTCATAGAAGATTCAACCCAGAGTACCGCGAGTGGGACAGAATGAAAAGATCAGCAGGTGCGTCATACCGTCATGCTGGCAAAGAGGGGAAAGGGGGAGCGACTCCCTGCGCGCAACACCCGTGAGAGGCTAAATGGATTGGACATGTAAGGCCATACTCGTGAGAGGCTAAATGGATTGGACATGTAAGGCCATGACAATCATTTGGGAAGGTGGTGAACACGCGTGAGCTTTGGAGGACAGCCCAGTCACCGAGTCGCCGTCGACATTCATGACTTTGGTGACTTACGGCTTTGGCGAGACTTGTTGGCGATGTGTGGGTGGCGCTTTCGACCTTCATGGAACATTACCTGTTCAGCACCGTGATGAAGAGGGGCAGCTCGCGGGAGTAGACTTCTATGATCCGCCTTCAACAGTTCTTCTTTGTGGGGAGACCTCCTCCCTGAAACCACTCGCCCCTGACCAGCGGCGGTCCGTTGCCAGGCAGCTATGGCCCTCGCATCAAGGCGGGCGAAGCGGAGTTCCCTGGCGCCAGCACTCCAATCGCAGGCGTGGAGGGCGAGCTTGGGAGGTTCGGAGAGGTGGTGATAGCGGAAGAGTTGAGGTGGGAGGAGTTGAGGGTTTCGAATGGTTTCGATTGGTTACGGATGGTTCCGGATGGTTTCGATATGGTGCGAAATAACACGATCTTCCAACTTTGATGCACAATGTCGACCCTTTTGAAGTTGGTTGTAACTATAGGGATGAACAGGCTGACATGTTGCACAGTTGGAAAATACAGGTATAAGTATAGGGAATAGGGACATTAGTTGATTAGTTGAATCGTTTTGGGTGGTTGATCCGTAGATTTTTTTTGGCAGCAAACCTCTTCAATGTGCCATCTATTTGCGAAATTAAGACTCCTACAGAGTGAATCCCAGTCTTGCTTCAGGATTGGTTCCTCGCTCAGTTTGGACCTTCGTGCCAGGTAATGGTTCAAGTAAGTCATGGCAGGCTTCCCCCAAACCTGCATGTCTTTAAACACAAATAGAACTTTGATTGCACACACCGTCACCCAGAATTCCAATGTGGGACTTGTGACGAGGTTGTGTCAAATCAACATCAAGAGTGTGCTCCATAGGCTGAGTCCAAAGGTATGCCAAAGTGGAGTCCAATGAGTGCTGATGGTTCTTTGAATCTTTGCGTGTTGAGACAAAAGCCCTGAAACGAGGGGATGACAGGAGAGGACTCATGTTCATTTGACCCTCACCTGGTCTCCCTGACGGAGGTTTCTTTGCAAGCCAGGCCTAGTGCTGTGTGGCGACAGTTGCTTCCCAGGCTGGCGGATTCCGAGGATTCCAGGAGTCTTTTGGAAGGTGCGGAGCTGAAGAAACCCTACAAAAATCATCCAAACATTCCTAGCACATCCTGTTTGGGTGCTGTTTGGGTGCCCTGTCTGGAGACCAAAGGACGTCCCGGGGCACGTAGGGTAGCGGGTCCAGCCAGGTGACCCATTGGAGGCAGGTGACCCCGTAGGTCGGTAGGTCCTGTGTTCACTGGGTCAGACAGGCGTCGTCAGACAGGTGGAATCACCAAATCCAGTCTCGCTAGCATGCCTCTTAATAGACATCGTCATGCATGGTGCATTCAACCGATTTCACGAGCATTTGCAGATCCTGAATCGCCATTTAAAGCCCAACATGTCCACGCCATGTCCACGCTACTTGGGAGGCTCAGAATTCTTCCAATTCAGCAGTTGAGCCAGTTCGCGGTCCAGTTCGCCACAACCCGGAATTTCTATTCCGGCCCTGCCTAGCCCTACCTGATCACCCGATCATCTCTCCTCCATGACACCCGGTCCTCCAGGAGGAGCAGTCCTCCAGCGCCCAAAAAACAGCACCACAATCCCCCATGAAAGGGTCATGGAAGCACGGCCCCTTGGATGACTCTTTTCCCTACTTAAACAGTTGGTTCATGGTTTTGCGGATCCAGCGGATTTGGTGGTTTTCCCTAAGGTGTGTATTTGCATTTCTATAAGTGTGTCTATCCCCTCACCTGCGGAACAGTTTTAGAAGGTTCCCGGCTTGGACGGCAAATCCAAGATCCACTCCAAGCACTTTTTTCTCCCTGGAACTGGAGGAGATCGTATTCTTTCTCTAGGTTTGGCGTGTACCCTAGGGCTCCAATCGCACAGTCGTTTCGGGGGCCAGGAGGGTCCAGTCATAGCTGCTGGGGAAGTACGACTGGAGCTCTAGTATAGTGCCCAGACACTCCATGGGACTGCCATATATGCCTACATTGGAGTGGTTTTGGGGGTCAATGTAGGCATATATGGCATACATGGAGTGTTTGGGGTGGGGATGGTTGATGTTCCTGAACTTGGATGTTTACAGGACATCCCCAGGGTACCTGATCTTTCCCCTGAAGCAGCCTGGCTCTTCTGGGGAGATTCTGCTCAGCTAGCGGGCGTTGACTGATAGCTGGGCAATAGAAAAAAGTACATTTGGAGTGAATCCCCTAACCTGCAGAATACACTCTGACTTACTAACAAGGAAGCAGCGTTCGCCCCCCCCTGTTGGTAGAGGACAGTACTAGGCCGCTTGTAGTCTTCCAAGGGACTATAGGCAGCATCACTACAAACCGAATCGAACACCGGTCTCAGGCATCGGTGTGCCCGCTGTGGCGGGCAGCGGCCTCCTGGCAGCGCACGCCACGGGGCTGGAGACGCTGCCGGCGTCGCCTGGCGGGACAGGGCTACAGCAGCCGGGAGGCTTGCTGAGGCCTATTATATTGTTGGGCTTAGTGTGATAAGGGAGAAAGAATATCATAGGTCTATTCTATGTCCTTGAACAAAATGTCTGACTCACCCCCAATTGGACGAATGGGGAAATCAAACTAGGCATAAATAGATGTAAGACACACTGGATTGGGGATTTCACTGTTCTGGCTTGACATACTCATGAGTGGATAACATACTTAGCACATCCAATGGGTGCGCAAATCAGTATACGGTTGTCCATTGGTGACCCGTTGGAAGCATCTGGTAGATTTGGCTCATTAGAAAGCGAATGCATGGCCACAGACGTACGTCTTCGACTTATGCGAAAGAAAGAAGAGATCTGACGTGTGTCAAAGGCTACTGACGACATGACTCTGACTCTTTAGGGTCCGAACGTGGAACAGCTCCATGATGTGACCTCAGGCTTGACCACGTTGGGCCACGTAGGGCCGGTTTGGCCAGAGGAAGAAAGGATTCTGACAAGCTCCCGAAAACGTGTCATTTCATCGCATGGAACATGGGACTCTCCCGAAGGTTCAACGGTGGCGGCGCTTTTCGGGAGTTCTTCATCCGTGTCCTTCTTCCCAAGAAACCGAGTGCAACGTTTCGCTCTGGTCTGGCGGACACACGCGAGTCTTGCCCAATGCTTCAGCCTTGGAGTCAAAGAGTCGACAAAATCTACTGGTTTCAGAGGTTCGATGGCAGTGGCACCCCAAGATGTCCTGAACAAATGGGGGTCCACATCAAACCACCAAACTTGGGGTCCCGTGCCATCTACCCTGAAACCACTGTAGCTCAAATGCCACATTTGAGCACTCCACTGGCCCAAGTCCAAGTCGTCGCATGTCACCAAACCCCATGCCTGCCGTCGCTGCCGTCGGCACGGCACATGATCCGAGGCAACTCAAAGAGCTGCAGCGTCTCTTCAGTTGAGCAAAAAGAAGGAAGGGAGGGTCCCAGGTGTCTCTGGGGAGGGGACTACGGTCGGTATCCTGGTGCCATGACCCATGAGCGCCGGTTTTGTCGGATCACGGTGTTCTGGTCGGCTATACGGACGGTCTACCGGAGTTGTAACTTGGTCCTTTAGTGGTTTTCGGGTGGTCGTTCCTGGTCACCCACCGAGTCTTCGCTGCGATCTTGGCGGCATTTGATCATATTGATCTTCCTGTATGAACAAACAAAAGGGGAAAGCGATATTGATTCCCCTTTTGTTAGTCTTTCCCCTTTTGTTAGGATCGTGTCTTGGCGGCATTTGATCATCTCAAGAGGCCCAGAGGGTCCCCCGTTTCGAGAGTGAAGACACCATGCGAAGCAAAGCAGTGCGTCATCTAAAAGGCTTTGCTTCAGATGTGCAAACCGTGTGGAGTGAAACCATGGACCATCCCACGGGGTCGAACGAACATTGTTTGAGTTCCATGTTGGAGAATGCTTGCAAGGCGAAGCAATATCCTGCAATATCCCGAGGGTCTCAATAGTTTGTTCTAAACTATGCACTTTGCACAAGCCTCATGTCTTCTCCAAACGGGAGAGTTGCAGTCAGTTCGCGATTGAAACAACTATGTATGTGTGAATGGCCTGCGGGGCTTTCTCTATTCTTCCAGCTCATATGAAGCTCATATGATGTCTTTTTCATTCCATAGCGATCCCATCACAGATGTTTGACGTGAATTGTTGACGTGACGTGACGTCCGATCTGTGATGCACCACAATCTTCTCCCAACAAAGTGAACACAGTTCTTTTATTCCGTGTTTTACCAAAGTAAAAAGAACGTCAGGTAAGGTATGTCCATACACGGAAACCGAAAGATGTTCAGTGGAAACCGCCGAATCGCACCTTGAGTACCTTTAAGTGCGGCGAGAACGGCATCGCAAAGGGCCACGCCTCGCGGTTTCTAGATCAAGCCAGATGAATCCGCCGGAGATTTCTCGCCGGATACGGCGGTGAAGTGTCATCTTCGTGGTTTTCGAACTTGAGGCGTGCCCGCGGAGTTCAGGGAGTCAGCTGAGTCAGCTGCTCGTTCCATCAGGTGAGGATTGTTAGATGTTTAAGAGAGGTGCCGCAACTCCTCCTCCTCCTCCTTTTTCTCCTCCTCGCCTTATAACAGCAAAGGCCAGATTACAGTGGGCACTCTCGAACCTCAACAGATAGAATGCCAGAATGCAAACCACAACCATAACCACCACAGCACACAACCACAACACACGGTCACAACCACATCATCCGCAACCACCACAATACACAACACACAACCAGGCAGCAGGTCTCCTCTCAGATCAGCATGTTGTGTTCGAATCTGCCAAGCGAGAACGGAAAGGCTAGAGAGCAGCATGGATCCATCACATGAGGGCCTGCTCCAGATGATAATGTTTTTATTTCCAAGCTTTATTTGGGATGATTGAATCCACTGACAAATAGTGTTCAAGCGCGTTGAAACCACCAACCAGTTTTGATGGTTGAGAATTGTTTTGGTTCCAGTTTTGCTCAGTCACATTGTCTCAGCTGCGTGTTTGTGTTGGTTGATCCGAATGTGGAGTTGCTTTAGTGGAAGGTGCCATCTGAATAATGAAGAAGTTGTGGTCCAACTGGAGCCTGGATACCTTCCCTCAAACAAGCAAGGAAGGGGTGTTCACCTTCTTGGTCAAGGAAACTCATTTTGTTGGATGAAGGGTAGACCAATGGGAATCTAGGGAATCTAGGGGTTCATCATTGCACATGTTCAAAGCAACTGAAACATGCACTGCAAGGTGCAGCCTGCAATAGGGCATGATTATGCAGGTACGACTGTACCCATTTTTGACGACAGCGTCGTCGATCAACATCGGTCAACAGTCTGCACGACGTGCACGACCTGTGGCGCCACTCCTGCAGGCGACATGTCGCTTCTCCATATTATGTCGCGGACTTAGATGTGTTTGTGGATGGTCGGGTATTGTTTTTCCTTCAAGCAGCTGTACGGTCTCGCCGGTCGCCTATGAATGGTTGGGCGATCGTCAAGGGACACCTGTCTCGTCCACAAGACTTCGCGTTGCACGCGGAATGATCGGCAAGCTCCTGTCCCACAACACACGGGAGTCGCTGGGTCGATGTCTTCTTTGGGAACGGTCTGAAGCGAGTCACTGCTGAAACACAGGGCCTGCCATGGCTGCCAGACGGACCCGACCCTCATTCAATCAGGATCAAGTGTCTAGATCAACCATGCTGTACATCCTGGTTCCAAGTGTCACATGGAACCGGAAAAACCACGGTCGGGTTGTAGTTGTAGAAGAAGCGTCGTTTTCCAGTCTGGTTTTAAGGCCGGGTCGCCCGGTGGAACCTGTGGGTCTGCAGCTGGATACACCCGGGAAGAGACCCACATGGAACCTGGAAATGGACCTTTGAACAGCGATTTTCCTCTACAACTCAGTGGTTTTCAGGTTCCATGTGGGTCTCTTCCAGGGTGTACAGCTGGCTGAGTACGATCTACGGCTGGCTGGAATGTCAAGAATCTCTTGAGGGGTGCTTCTTTTTTTTGTAGGAGTGTCGAGGGACAAACATCTCGAGGAGAATGGACCAGAGTGTCCCCAAAAAAAAGCACAGAATGCAAACAATTCAAATCAAGACGAGATATGATCCTTTCAGATGGTGTTTTGTTATTTTGGAAGACTGGTGTGGACCGCCTTCCGCTCTTGGGCTGTGGGCGCACACCGACTCAAGTGAGAGTGTTATTTTGGAAGATGATACCCATTTTCTCGAAAGACACGAACAACGGCTCGAGTTCCGGTCTCCCTGCCTCGTGAACTGCAGGTCGAGATGTCGGGTTCCCTGCCTCGTGGTGGGGTTCCCGGCGTCGGTTCGCGCGCCGCCGCGCGTGTGGACGGTGCAACCACCGTGACGGTTGGTCTGCACGTGTTGGTCTGGACGTGACCCTGGTGCTTCCGGAGTGGTTGGAAGTGTTGGACCACATGTTAGATGGATAGACCATGATAGAGCCATAGAGCCATAGAGCTAAGGATTCGCTGAGGTGAGCGAACTTTTTTTCGGGTGAGCTTGAACCTACTCCTGGAGAAGTCAATAGTAGCAGAATGGTGCCGGAATCACATTGCTCTTAGATCTGTGAAGAATAGGTTTCGCTGAACCTCCTTGGTGGTTTCGACCCCTGGCTGCCGTGCTTCTACAGGTTTGAAGCTGGATAATGTGAATTAGCAACACAAAAAGGTGTGGACCCCCAAGCTTTCGGTTGAGTCTCATCAATGTCATAAGCAGTTTGTGTTGGTCTTCCATGTTATACCCAGTAATTATACAGTGTTTTACTTACTTGCGATTGGCAGGCAGTGAATTTCATATGCAACACCTTTTTGGGGGGGGGAATGTGTTTCGCCACTGAAAACCCTGAGGTGAAAAAAATGAGTTCTAGTTCTGAAAAAAAAGACTCCACAAAGACTGAGGGAGTCAGGCTTGCACCATCTACTCTGAAGGAACCTCTTTGACGAAGGTCGACCTTCCGACCTTGCGTGAAGTAGAGACCGAGAGCATTGCCAGCAACTCTCGGCCCAAGGAGGGGTAGGACAGATGCCAGTACCTTCCAACAGTGTGTTTATTGGGAGACTGGGAGAGGTGTGCCAGTACCTTTCAACAGAAACTGTGGTGCTTGCCGTGTCTTTGTGTTCTTTTTCGGTTTTGCCACGCAAGCTGGCACATGCATACATAGCGTCACAACCTACGCGTCATGTGTGTCGACATCCTTCATGACGCCGTGCCGTCACAGTGATCCGCAGGGTGACGCTCAGGTGACGCTCAACATGATCCCAGGCTCGCCAGGCTCATAAGTCCAAAAAGTCCTCAACGGTTCAACGTGAGGGTACATCCCTTTTTCCAAGACTCACGAAGAACATCGTCTTCCAGTCTGGTCCATGCCGGTCGCCGGGTTCCATGTCGGTCTCTTTCCGGATGTAACGATTGCCACATGACTGGATGTTCAAAACGTCTCCACTCGCAGTTCCACCGGTCTTTTTTCCACACCAAAGCTGCTACGGCACCAAGGTCCTGTGGCTTTGCCACGGCACCGAGCTTCGCGTTGAGGCGCGGCGTCTCCGGGCAGGGTGGGTGCTGATGTGGCTGGGTCAAAACCTGAGCCTCCCAAAAAGCAAGTTGTTCCAATCACTCCACGGATTCTTTCAGACCTCTTACCCACACACGACTAATGGGACTGCCATATATGCCTACATTGACCCCCAAAACCACTCCAACTGATCGGCATATATGGCAGTCCCATGGAGTGTCATGGGATGTCATGGGTAATGGGTCTGAATACACACACCACATCGGAAACACCGCACTGTTAATAGGGACCGCGCCCGACTCATTGCACCGACCCTCTCGACTCATCAGAGGCGGTGTCGCAGCACGGGGCGACGCAGCGGGTGGCGATCGCGGCGACGGGGCACCTCGAGGACCGCGCGGCGACGATCGGAAGATGGGCAGATGGTGGTGAGTTTGGGGTTCGGTTTTGGGAGGTGGAGCAGTTCGGAAAGAGGGGACATGAATTCGGGAGAGAACAGACGATTTTTGGAGAATCATGTCCATCATATGGGTTGTTAGACGAAGTACAGGCTTTCTTGGTAGCTTGTGGCACGTTGTTGTTGTTGTTGTTGTTGTTTCTTTTAACAAACCATGCATGGCTTGGTCACAACTTGGAAGACTGGGACGAGGTTTCTGCCCGTCTCTTGCAACGAGGGCGCTGTCTGTCGATCTGTCTATGTCTCGTCAGCCTCTCAGTCTGTGTACGAGGACAGATCGACCGGGAAGAACTGCCATCTGGACGACAGTCCAAGATCCGGACGGGGCAGAGTTTGGAGGGCAACTCAGTGCCCAGCAATTGTTTGACAAGACGTGGAGGCTCAAGACGTTTCACTTGATGTGCTCTACACGTGTTCTCCAGTGCTTTGCACTGCCAAAAA